CTGCCTCTTTGGGAGGGCTCAGGTCCTTAGAGCACCTGTTGTTATTTTAAGGCGGCAGTGTGGGTTCCGCTCCCGTAGGAAATATATCCGCCTCACTAGCTATAGGAACCACTTCTACCTAGAGAGGTGCCTCAGACGTCCTGTGCCCTGGCGATGGGAGCCTTCCTAGTGCCTAAAGACTAAACACTTTGTTAGGGTAGTTTCTGAACATGTAGATAGCGAGTGGGATCTTCCCGCTGAAGACTTAAGAGCTTCTGGGGAAGAAGCGCCCACTTCACTGTTTCATTTTTATTGGCCAGTCGGTCATGTAGAAGGTGAGTACAATAAGGTTGTTGCAATTTTGAGGATTCTACTGGAGCGCGTGACTGGTCTGTTGTTGTGTGCCTCAAGTTCATTCTGATTCAAAGCGACCCTGTAAGACAGTAGAACTGCCCTATACAGTTTCCGAAGCAGTAATCTTTCGGGAAAAGATCTCCAAGTCTTCTCGCCTGCAGAGCCGCTAGTGGGTTCCAACCCAAGCCATCAGGGCTAATGCCAGTGTTCTAAGGATACCGAATTCAATATAGCTCAGAGTGTTGGATGCCATAGGGAAGCTGGAGGAAAGAGGGCATGACAAGACACCAAAGAGTGTGAACCAGAGCTTCGCACCAATTCATTCTGGTTCTACTCCCCTCTGAGAACTTCCATTTCCATTCCAGACACACTGAATCAGAATCTACATTTTAATAAGATTCTCCAGGTGATTCTAATGTACATGTAAGAATCACCTGGGATCTTGTTAAAATGCAGATTCTGATTCAGTGTATCTGGAGTGGAAATGCAAAATCTCTACAGGGGGTCGGCCCTGAGGGAACCTGTTCTGAAGCCTTGGTTTTAACAGATGCAGGCAACCTACAGATGTTGGACTAACAAAAATGCTTTGCAAGTGGGAGATGTTGTTGTTAAGTGCCGTTGAGTCAGACCCATAGCGACCCCTCCTTGGGTTTCCAATGTGGTATCACTATGGAAGTAGATTGCCCCACCTTCCTTGTGAGGAGTGGCTGGTGATTTGAACCTCCAGCCTTATGGTGAGCAGTTAAGTGCCTTAGGCATTACACTACCATGTTGTTGTTGTTGTTGTTATGTGCCAGTGAGTCAGACCCGACTCATAGCGACCCCTTCTTGGGTTTCCGAGGCAGTATCACTACGGAAGTAGATTGCCCCATCTTCCTTCCGAGGAGTGGCTGGTGGGTTTGAACCTCCAGCCTTATGGTGAGCAGTTAAGTGCCTTAGGCATTACACTACCATGTTGTTGTTGTTGTTGTTATGTGCCAGTGAGTCAGACCCGACTCATAGCGACCCCTTCTTGGGTTTCCGAGGCAGTATCACTACGGAAGTAGATTGCCCCATCTTCCTTCCGAGGAGTGGCTGGTGGGTTTGAACCACCAGCCTTCTGGTTAGCAGTCAAGTGCCTTAGCCACTATGCTACAGAGCTCCCTTACACTATCGTAGTATCCTACTATTCTCCATCTATATACACCTACTCCTCACTTATCAACTGTTTTGTTATCTGACAAAATATTTCTCACAACAGTAAAAAATCTACTCTCTGACTATTTGGCCCATTAATGACATGTCTGGCAGTAACTAATGCCAGTGTTCAAGGTGAGAGTCATGTTGTTTGTGATAGTTAAGGTTACGGGTCAACTTGGTGGTCTGTGTTTTCAGTGGCTTGGCAGTTATGTAATGATGTATAGTCATCCTTCATTTTCCCACAATGCTCATTTTCATATGTTGTTGTTATGTGCCATCGAGTCACCCTGACTCATAGTGACCCCTCCTTGGGTTTCCGAGGCAGTATCACTACGGAAGTAGATTGCCCCATCTTCCTTCCGAGGAGTGGCTGGTAGTTTTGAACCACCAGCCTTCTGGTTAGCAGTCAAGTGCCTTAGGCATTATGCTACCAGAGCTCCCTCATTTTCATATAATGACTCAAAAAGGAAAAAACCAAACTCAGTGCCATTGAGTTGATTCTGACTCATAGTGACCCCTTTGGGTTTGCAAGGCAGTAAATCTTTACGGAAGTAGATAGCCCAGTCTTCCTTCCATATCATGACTGGTCTTTGGTAGTTTAACCATGTAAATGAGTGGAGAGAGAGAGAGTGTATCCCTTTCCTTTTTTCCTCTTTTTCTTCCAATACCTATTGTTGTTAGTTGTTATTAGGTGCTGTCAAGTCAGTTTTGACTCAGAGAAAACAGAACACTGCCCAGTCCCATACCACCCTCACAGTCATTGCTATACTTGAGCCTGTTGTCATACCCACTGTGTCAGTCTGTCCTGTTGAGGATATTCCCCTTTTTTTGCTGACCTACTTTACCAAGCATAATATCCTTTTACAGGGACTGACTGGTCCCTTGTGACAACATGATGAAAGTATAAGAGACGAAGTCTGGCCATTCTCACTTCTAAAGAGTGTTCTGTATTTTGGAAAAGGATAGTAGTTATGATGGCACAACATAAAAAATGTCATCAATGTCCCTGAGCTGTAAATGTAAGTTGTTATGTTTGCAGATGTCTTGTTGTGTATGTTTTCACCACAATAAACGTTAAAAAAAAAAAATGAATCTAGCTATACTTCCTCCAAGACAAAGACTGTTCTTTTAGCAGTCCATGGTACATTGAATATTTTTTGCCAACACCACAACTCAAATGTATCAATTCTTCTGTCTTCCTTATTCATTGACCAGCTCTCACATTCATATGAGGCTATTAAAAATGCCATGGCTTGGGTCAGGCACACCTTAGTTTTCGAAGTGACTTCTTTGCTTTTAAACATTTTAAAGAGGTCTTTTGCAGCAGATTTGCCCAGTGCAATACATCATTTGATTTCCTGACTGCTGCTTCCATAGGTGTTGATTATGGATCCAAGTAAAATCAAATTCTTGACAACTTCAATTTTTTTCTCCATTTATCACCATGTTGCTTATTGGTCCAGTTGTGAGGATGTTTGTTTTCTTTCTGTTGAGGTTTATTCCATTGTGAAGGTTGTAGTTTTTGATGTTCATTACAGGTGCTTCAAATCTTCACTTTCAGCAGGAGAGAGTGTGTCATCTACATATCACAGGTTGTTAACAAGTCTTCCTTCAATCCTGATGCTGTGTTCTTCTTCATATAGCCAGTTTCTCAGATTGTTTGCTCAGCATGGAGATTGAATAAGTATGGTGAAAGGATAAAACCCTGATACACACTTTTCCTTTTCTTAAACCACTGCAGCATCCCCTTGTTCTGTTCAAATGACTGCCTCTTGGTCTATGTACAGGTTCCTCATGAGCACAATTAAGTGTTCTGGAATTCCCGTTCATTGCAATGTTATCCATAATTTGTTATAATACACACAAATGCCTTTGCATAATCAATAAGATGCAGATAAACATCTGTCTGGTATTCTTTGCTTTCAACCTAGATCCATCTGGTATCAGCAATTATATCTTTCATTCCATGTCCTCTTCTGAATCTGGCTTGAATTTTTGCCAGGTCCTTGTCTACTACTTCAATTTTCAGATTATCTTCAAAATTTTACTTGAGTGTGATATTAAGGGTATTGTTTGATTATTTCCACATTCTTTTGGATTCCTTGGAATGGGCACAAATATCAATCTCTTCCAGTCAGATTGGCCAGGTAGCTGTATTCCAAATTTCTTGGCTTAAATGAGTGAGTTCCTCCAGCGTTACATTCGTTGGTTGAAGCATCTCAACAGGTATTCCATCAATTCCTAGAGCCTTGTTTTTCACCAGTTCCTTCAGTGCAGCTTGGACTTCTTCCTTCGATACCATTGGTTCTTGATCATATGCTACCTCCTGACAGGATTGAATGTCAACCCATTCTTTTTGTTACAGTGACTCTGTGTATTCTTTCCATCTTCTCTTGATGCTTCCTGCATTGCTCGATATTTTGAGCAATATATTGTAACTCAAGGCTTGAATTTTTTTTCTTTCAGGTTGAGCTTGAGAAATGCCAAGCTTGTTCTTCCCCTTTGATTTTCCAACTCCAGGTCTTTGCACAATTTCATTATAATACTTTATCCTCTCAAACAACCCTTTATAATCCTTTTTTCAGCTCTTTTGTTTCATCATTTCTTCCATTTGCTATAGCTACTCTCCATTCTTCCTCGGAAGGAAGGTTGGGCAATCCTACTTCTGTAGTGATACTGCCTCGGAAACCCAAGGAGGGGTCGCTATGAGTCGGGGCCGACTCGATGGCACATAACAACAACAACAACAACTCTCCATTCTACAGCAAGTTGCAAAATCTCTTTTGACATCCATTTTGGTCTTCTCTTCTTCTCCTGTCCTTTTAATGACATTTTGCTTTCTTCATGTATCATGTCCTAGATGTCATCCCAATACTTCATCTTGTCTTCTGTCATTGGTGTTCAATGTGTCAATGTGAGATATACTAAAGGTTGTATTTTGGTTGTCATAGACTTGTTTTAATTTTCTTCCTTCAACATAAACTTGCATATGAGCAATAGATGGTCTATTCCATAATCAGCCTCTGGCCTTGTTCTGACTGATGAAATTGAACTTCTCCATCATCTTTTTCTACAGATGTGGTCAAATTGATTCCTGTGTTTTCCATCTGGTGTGGTCCACCTGTATAGTCACTGTTTATGTTGTTGAAAAAAGTTATTTACAATGAATAAGTTGTTGGTCTTGCAAAATTCTGTCATGCAATCTCCAGCATTATTTCTATCACCAAGGCCATGTTTTCTAACTGCCAATGCTGCTTCTTTGTTTCCAACTTCCGTTTTCCAATCATTAGTAATTATCATTGCATCTCGAGTGCATGTTTTGTCAATTTCAGACTGCAGAGATTGGTAAAAAT